CAGAGGTTGAACCCTGATCTCCTGCATCGCAAGTAGATTTTCTACTGTTTGAGCTACCAGGGAGCTCATTTTTGTCTCACATATTATCTCATTTAATTTGATCACAACATCCCCACGAGATAGGTATTTTTATTATCCCCGTTTTTCATAAGAGGAAACAATGACTCAAACTAACTAAATCTCGTGCCTAAGGAGAAGAGTAGAAATTGGAACCTGCGATTGCCAGACTCAAAGCGTGCAGAAGTCACCCTCATGGCCTTCCTTGCTTGTCCATTCCCTCTGACCATGGGCATTCTGGGCAATCTCAGTTCTCTACATCAAGGAGTCTGGTGAGAGTGGAGTGTAGCGGGTACCAAGTCTAAAAATTTCTTTGGTGTCACCTGCTCCCTCTGGGCCTCAGTTTTCTCAGCTGTAAAATGGCTGCATGTGAGACTTCCTGCAGTAAACCAGGCCTTAAGAGCTTTGCAGCCAAGCATGGCTTGCTCCCTGGTTGAACAGCTCCGGCACTGCCTCCAGTTCAGTTATGGTTTCCAAGAGGAGCTCCCAGGTGTCCAGCCAAAGTGACTGACTTGCCTGGGGCCCAATGGCTGTGGGTTCTGGTCACAGCCCTGCCCACCAGGTGCTCTCTGATGACTCACCTCTGCCCCCACCCATCCCTCCAGAAGTCTCTTAGAATTACTTTGCCCATGTGGCGGCTGCAGCTGCACATAGGAACGATGCTGGATGTAACTGACCTCTCTTGGCTCAGCCACGCAGCCTCCTGGGGGCTGTGGAAAGAAGCAGGCCCAGAGCCAGGCTGGTCACCTGGACTGCCTCGGTCTCCTTACCTGCAGTGCCACCAGCGCAGCCTGGGTTTTCACCTTCACAGCAGGCCCTGCAGCCGACCTTTCTCCCTAGGAATCTACCATGAGCTTGGGAAACCTTTGAAGTTTCCTTCTTTATCTTAAAGATAAAATATCACACAGAGTTTCTGCTCAGCTTGGTGCCTGTTCTGTCTGGTGCTCTGCGTGCTCCTCCCGCTGCCTGCTGTCTCAGAGTGAGGCCCTGGGTCCTGAACGACAGCGATCCAGAGGGACAAGAGACAGTGTGGGCCTCTCTCAGTGTGCCCCCAGCCATGGGCGCAGCTGGCCCTGGGGGCACTGAGGCTGGCTTGAGGGAGGAGGACTTCCCAGGTGGACTCTAACCTACAAAGCATAATTCTGTTGTCACTCCCTCTTCATACACTCATAGCCTGGGACAACACATTTGAGGACTTGCAAAGCCAAACCAGCTTTCAAACTTGGTTTAGAGAAGTTCTGGTTTCCTGAGAAGTCACACGTGAGTGCTCCTTGAGGGTTAAGAGTATTGGAAGATCTGGTTTTAAGTTTTGCTGCTTTCTTGCTCTATGATTTGGGCAGGTTACTTCCTCTCCCGAGCCTCAGCTTTCTGTTTTGCAGCACAGCGGAGAAGTTGGGGGTGAAGGGTGAGTGTGTGTGTTGATCGTCCAGTGCAGCACCTGGACCTACGTGCCGCCACACAGCAGTCACTTGCCTGGGTGCTCCTGAGGATGCAGATCCGGCCTCTGCCATCTTATCCATCCCATCCCTCTCATCACTCTGTTTACTCATTCATTTATTCACTCGCTTGTATATCATTCATCTCTCTCAGTCTGATATAGTTCCTGAGTCTTTCCTTGACTTTCGTGACCCTGACACTTAGAGACCAGATATTTTGTAAAAAGCCCCTCATTTAGGGTTTGTCTGGTCCTCCTCATGATTAGATTTAGATCATGCATCTTTGGCAGAAATATCACATAAGTGGTATCTGTATTCTTTTCATTGCATCCTGTCAGGAAGCATCCGAGTCACATCTTGCCTTGTCACTAATGACATTCCCTTTGATCACTTGATGAAGGTGGTATCTGCCAGGCAAAGTGAAGTTACTGATTTGATGGGAAGGTACTTTGAAACTATGTAAATACCCTATTCCTCATTAAACATTCAATGTATTTATTTATTCATACCTGTATATACTTTGGTTTCCTATTTTAATCAGTGGAATATAATGTTACGATCATTATTTACCTTAATACATGAGTTGGCCCAGCTTTCACCCATGGTAGGCTTGGTTTGCCTGGGACTGAGAGGTTTCTTGGGATAAGAACTTTCAGTGCTAAACTGGAAAATGCTGATGAGTTGGTCACGGAACCAGTGGGGAGCCCTTCACACCGGCTCCTGTGTCTGCTAGGCAAGGTCCCTATCATTCTGTGAGTACACGGTCTTTACTCTCTGGCACAATAAGACGTTCCAGGCTCCTCCTGTGCTTACTCCCACCAGTCCCAGGATCACACATTTCTCCAAGAAGACCTGGAAGCAGGACCTTTTGAGTATTAGGCTGCAGCACAGGGCACTAGAGCAGATGGCGCTCATGCAGCTGACCCGCAGGCCACTCTGGCCTCTCTGCCAGGGCCTCTTGCTGCATGCCTGCTTTCCACACTGAGCTTCTCTGTGAAGCCCGACTCCCTGCATCTCACCCACATAGCTGACCACCTCCTCTGTGTCCCCTTGGACGGTCTGGGCACCTCCCCATTTCCACACTAGTCTCCTCTCTCAACTGGAAGCCTCTGAAGGACAGGCCTCAGATTCGTCTCTGACTCTTCTGTGCTCTGCACAGAGCTGAAGCTGGTGAAATGACTGAATCTAGTCATACCTTCTTGTGGAGAAGAAAAGCAAACAGGGTGGGGAGGGAGTGAGTCTTCAGTCTGAAGCTGTTCTTCAATTTCAGTTTTCTTTCCTTTTTTTTTTTTAAAAATTATTTATTTATTTGGCTGTGCTGGGTCTTAGCTGTGGCATGCAGGCTCTTGAGTCTTCATTTTGGCACGTGGGATCTAGTTCCTTGACCAGGGATCAAATTGAGGCCCCTCTGCGTTGGGAGCACAGATTCTTAACCACTGGACCACCAGGGAAGTCCCAAACTTCGGTTTTCACAACTAAAATGAGGCTAATACCTCAAAGTGATAGTGCGTAGAAAGCACTTAGGATAGTACCTGGCAGGTGGTGAGCACACCTCTCAGGATCTCTGGGGAACCTTTTATTGAATTCTTTTCATTATTGAAGAGGCAGTACTATATATTTTAGAAAATTAGAAATATAGATAGCAAAAAGAAAATAAAACTATCATATGCTCATCATTTAGAGACTGCCACTGTTAATACCTTAGCTTCCCAGGCCTTTTCTGTGTATAGATTTTTTCCGCTCCCCCAAAGTGAGATTATATCATGCATCCACTCTGTAACTTGCTTTTTCTTCAGGCAACAATATCCACAATTTTGTTTCAGTAAATTTTCAGCACATCTAATTAATACTCAGGTCATGTTTACATTTCTCCAGTTGTCCCAAATGTGTCCTTTTTGCTGTTGTGTCCAAGCCAGTATGCAATCCAGGACCGTACTTTCTATCTGGTTATTTGTTCTATAAATCTCAGTTCCTTCTTTATGACACTGGTGTGTAGAAAGACTAGACCAGCAGCCCTGCAGAATGTCTCATCATCTGGCTTTGTCTTGTATTCTTGTGGTGACACTTAACTTGTTCCTCTGTCTGTTGTATTTTTGTTAGGTGAGGCATATCCAGGGCTTGATGAGTTCACTGGTGCCTAGAATACTCAATGGGTAGTGTCCTTCCTTGTCCTTTCATCACCATTAGTGGGGCCAAGGCCTAACAAGATTAGGGGGAAGACGATGTGACCCGTCCCTCATGTGGTTGCATGTATTTACTTTTTAGTAGAAAGTAGTATGTCTAAACACCCAGTTCTGGGAAACGTTTTTAAGCTACACAGTAGAACTCAGCCATTTGCCGAGGGGAACTTGATCCTGGGGTTTGGGCTTTCGGGTGAAAAAAAAATCACAGAACAAGGATATGGACTGAGTTTCATCTTGCTGAGTGTAAATCTAATGAAACCTGGTTCTGTTTTCATTTGCTTTCCAGACGTGTGATCTAGGTGAAGTCCCAGCTTTTTTTTTTTTACTTTTTGGCCACACCCTGTGGTATGTGGGATCTTAGTTCCCCACCAAGGATAGAACTCGTGCCCCTTGTATTGGAAGGTGGAGTCTTAACCACTGGACCACCAGGGAAGTCCCAGCCCCAGCTTTGCTGCTTATCAACTGGGTGACTGTGAGCAAGTTTCTTAACCTCTTTGAGCCTTAAGTTCCTCTTTGGATTTCTTATCTGGCAGGGTTATTGTGTGGGTTAAATTTTTTTTTTTAAAGTTTCCTCTGCTCTTTTCTCCCTAGCTGGAAAACTCTTTGAGAACAAGGCTAATAAGTAATAAGAATTCAAAGATGTTTGTTGGGTGTATTCCTTGGTGGTCCAGTGGTTAGGACTCTGTGTTCCACTGAAAGGGGGCATGGGTTTGATCTGTGGTAGGGGAACTAAGATCCCACATGCCACATGGTGTGGTCAAAAACAAAACAAAAACAAAGATTTTGTTGGATGGTGTAAAAAAAGAAAGGAGGGCAAATGGTATGGCCAGGTGATAAGTACCATGGGGGAAAGACATCCATTTAGGCATTCGTTTGTTCATTTGTGCTTTCATTTCATTTAACATGTACTCATGCCAGGCTCTGTACTGAATTGACTGAGCCTCTGCCCATGAAATTCATGGGCCTGGAGGGCACAGATAAAGAGGAGGAGAGCACAGTGTATAGGAGTCCAGAAGGTCGGCTGGGTAATTCAGGAAGACTTCCTGGAGAAGGAGACCGGGACGAATGGGGAGGTTTGGTGGGGGCTGAGATGGGGGAGATAGTGTCTAGATGCAGAGGCTAACTTTGTCTGGCACATGTGGCTTCTGGGAGGGCTGGATGGAGCTCATGGCAAGAGGTGAGTCCATGTTGGCTTCAGAGGTCGCTGTTCCTCCCTGTCCTCCTTCTCCTCCTCCCCCTGCCTCCTTTGCCTGCATGCCTTCCTATCCCCTGATTAGCGCTTTGAGCCCTGTGTGACCCTGACAACCCATGTGTCTGTCTGCAGTGTCGGATGGAGTGCCGCGATGTGCCAGCAGAGACACTCTACGATGTCCTACATGACATTGAATACAGAAAGAAGTGGGACAGCAACGTCATTGAAACTTTCGACATTGCTCGCTTGACAGTCAACGCTGATGTGGGCTATTATTCTTGTGAGCAGATGCAAGCACGCCAATCCCAGCCCCCTCCACCTCTACCCAGGCCTCCAGCCCAGCCTCTTCCTACCCGCTTCCCTCCTCACAGTCACTCTCGGGGCCAGGCTGCTCAGAGACCTGAGTGTAGAGATGTAGGTCTGCCTTCCCTGAATCCTTGTCTGCTCCCAGACACTTGAGTATATAGAAACGTGTACTCACAAACACACATGCACTCCCATGTTCATGCATGCACATTCCATGTGCATGGACAAACACACTTGCACAGAGTCATGTATAAAACCCACAGCCACATGCCACCTACTCACCCACCTACCCACACTTAATGGAGACACAATAATACCACTGTTTTCTCCTACACTCACATTCACATACACAAACAGATCAGGCCAGCAAGGTGAGGGCTCTGTGAGGTGGTGAGGAGCAGGGGAAGCTGGATGCAGGAAGGGAGAGTGGCTGTTTTGTCTCCTTCCTAGCTCCAGAAATTAGGTCTGGTGGGTGGGGTCCTTGTTTAGATCAGGGGAGCTGGCAGTTAACCAAGCATCCCTGTGTCTCTGGGCTTTGCCACCCCCTTTTAGGCAGGCAGGCCAGTGGTCTGGCTGAACTGTCCCTTGCCCTCCACAGGGAGGTGTCCAAAGCCCCTGAAGAATCGTGATGTCATCACCCTCCGTTCCTGGCTGCCCATGGGCACTGATTACATCATTATGAACTACTCAGTCAAACATCCTGTGAGTCAACCTGCCTTCCCTGCTGGGTGGGCAGGGGAAGGTACCAGTTAGGACTAGGCCGGTAGGCCTAGCCCAGGGAGAGGCCCCTGGCTGCTACCAAGACTTCTCTGTGACTTCAGTCCAGACGTGAAGCCTCCTGCCTACACAGTGAGAATAATGTCTTGTCTCCCTGCTGGGGCTTTTACGCAGATGAGTGTGGACCATCACTCTGGACAAGTGGGTGGGAGGGGCTGGCTGGGAAAAAGGGAACAGGAGTGAGAGATAGGGTCCCCTGGCCCTCCCTGAGGCTGAGTGTTTTGATCTCCATGGCAGGCAGGACAGACAAGTGCAGGTGGCCTGGGAAAGGATGAGTGTGTGCTTGTGTGTGTGTGTGTGTATGCACACACCCATGTGTGTGCTTATAAACCCTCACCCCAGACTGGGGTCTTTCTGGAGGGGAACAGAGGAAGTTTAGAGTGGTAATGATGACCTTGTCTGACTCCTCTCTTTCTTCTTACCCCAATATCAGGCCTGGCTTGGAGTGGATGCCAGGGCATATGAACCAATTCTGTGTGTGTGTTTAGTACTCACAAAGGCACCACCTTTTCCCACACCTTGAGTCTCACCTCCCTGTGCCTTCCATCCCCAGAAATACCCGCCTCGGAAAGACTTGGTCCGAGCTGTGTCCATCCAGACGGGCTACCTCATCCAGAGCACGGGGCCCAAGAGCTGCGTCATCACCTACCTGGCCCAGGTGGACCCCAAAGGTGAGGGCTTGGCCCTGGAATCCCATCATGGGATCCTTCCCTATACCACGGCGATGGGACTTGATCTATTTGATCTACTGGGATCCGGAAGGGCCTCTGTTAAGAGGTGTTTTGTATTTTGGGGCATCTGTACCCAAAACGTTCTTTGAGCCAAAGTTTGAGACTTTACAGTGTTTGGAAAAGCAAGGATCAAGGTGGTAGTCACTGCCCCAAGACGAAGCTTACAGCTCTCTTCCTGGACTCCTAGGCCCCCATGCTCTGACTTGCTCCCCTCTCACTGGCTGCTCCCCCTCTGTCTTGTTGGCTTCTATCCTGGAGGTCTGGGTTTCCCAGGCCCCAGTCCTTTTTCCCTTGGGAGGGCTCAGCCACTCCCCAGGCTTCTGTGGCTAGGTGACTACATGTCTCTCTGCTGAGATCCAGGTCCCTGTGGCCATTGGCCTCCTCGATGTGTCCCTCAGGATGTCTCTTAGGACCCAAGGCTCAATGTGTCCAATGCTGAACTGTCTCCCTTCCTAATGTGCCCCTTCTCCTGAGTCTCTTCCCTCTAGTCACTCGTGCCCAAAACATGGTGGTTGTAGGGGGTCCCCTCTTGTCAGCTCCAAAATCATTAATTATTATTGATTCTACCTCTTAAATAGCTCCTGAATCTGTCATTTCTTTCCACATTCAGCCACTCTCTCTGTCCATACAGATTTTTTCCAAAGGACTTATTTCCTTGTGACTCTCTTCTGCTTAAAATCCTTTTGTGATTTTTCCACTGCCCTCACAGTGAAGTCTAAGCCCCCTCCCCAGGTTTCCCAGTCCCTTCTCACAGCTTATACCTTCCTACTTGTCTAAGCAACCCTTTCCCTCAGCCTAAAACACCTCTCTGCCCTTACTCATCCCTCCAGGGCTGCTTCACCTCCTCTATCCCTGATACCCCGAGGAGCTGCTGGCTCCCTGCCCTCTGGGCCCATCCCCCTCTAGCAGAGCACTTGACACACTGTTGGGCTCCCCCAGACAGTGAGTTCCTCTCTGGGTCCCCAGGGCTGGTCCAGGGTGGGTGCCACTGAGTGACTGTGGAGTGAGTGAGGGAATGAATGAATGGCTAGAGGAGGAGTAGGCTCTTGAGCATCTATGCCTGGGTATCCCCCCAGCACCACTGAGGGTCCACTGGCCCAGGCCCAGAGCTCCCCAGCACCTCACTGAGTGAGTTTTTTGGGTGTCAAGAGGCAGAGCAGACACTTGGGGATGAGGCGGGTGGAGAATCGGCCATAGATTCCAGGTCGGGCCAGGCTGGAAGAGGTCATGCAGCAGCTAGGCTTCCTGCTCCAGGGGGCTTAGAAGGACAGGCAGAGCAGGGGATGAGCATCAGGGCCATTCAAGATAGTGGGACTGGGTATGAGAAAAGGCAGGTAAGTGTGAGTAGAGGGGAGGCAGCAGGCAGAAGCTTGATTGGCCAGGATTTTAACTCATGTGTGGCCTGTGATCACCTTGGACCCTGTGGTTTTCTTTCATGCAGCCCCTGGACTCAGCAGAGGGCAGAGGCAGTCAGGTGGTAGAGGTAGAGGGTGTAACAGAGTTGAGCCTGAGGACCTTGGTCTGAGGTGGAAAGAGGGCTTGAAGTCGATGAAGTCTTACAGGACTTGCCTCACTCTGCCCCCTCCCTAGGGAGAAGAGTGTGTTCTCCCTGGAAACCCCAGGTTGGAGTAAGGAAGCTGGTGTGTGTGTTTGTGGGGGGCTGGATCCCTACGCTGCTGCTTCCTTTTTCTTCTCACTACCCTTTCCTGCCCTCATAGGCTCCTTACCCAAGTGGGTAGTGAATAAATCTTCTCAGTTCCTGGCTCCCAAGGTGAGTGACCTTGGGACTTGGCGGGTGTGGAGGTTGGGAGAGCGTTCTGTGCTGCAGGGATGGAGTACGGGAACGGGAGTCAGGGGGCGGGGCCAGGGCTGAGGGGCGGAGTTATGAAACCCGAGCTGGAGTCAGGATCCTGGGAACAGTGGTCAGAGCTGCTGGAGGGCGTGGGAGCAGATGGGGTGAAGGCCTAGTCCTGCTCCCAGCTCACCCCTTATCCGGCGGTACAACCGGTCCGCAGGCCATGAAGAAGATGTACAAGGCGTGCGTCAAATACCCTGAGTGGAAGCAGAAGCATCAACCACACTTCAAACCGTGGCTACACCCGGAGCAGAGCTCGTTGCCGAGCCTGGCGCTGTCGGAGCTGTCGGTGCAACATGCGGACTCGCTGGAGAACATCGACGAGAGCTCGGTGGCAGAGAGCCGGGAGGATCGCACAGGCAGCGCGGGCGGCGAGGGCAGCGATGACGACACTTCGCTCACCTGAGCGCTGCACCACGGCAGGGACCGCGATAAGATGGGGCCGAGCCCAGAGGCGGCGGATCCTCCCCCGCTTTCTCCCCTCCCCCGCCTCCTGCGCCTCCTGGGGACGCTGGGCTCGGGCCCAGGCTGGCGCTGCGGCCTGGCTGGACACAGCCCCAATAAACGATCCCACAGCCTCATCTGGCTCATCACTGTGCCTGCTTCCCACTTGCTCGGGCACGGGCACCGCCCTAGGCCCCTTTGTTCTACAGTTCATTTTGTTAATTTTATTATTGATCACGGGCTTTTGCTCCTTTAGACATCCCCATGTGAAGTGGCGGTGGTCGTCAACTCTCCTGTCCGTGGTGTGTTCATTCGCCTTGTGTTCATTCATTAGTTTACTCTTCATTCATCCACCTGTCCTTGTCGTGTGTTCATCCTGCCATTCACTCAGGCTCTTAGGTTACCTTTCACTGCTCTAAGAGAAGAAGCAGGTTTGGTCAGGGTCAGAGAATGGGGTTCTATTGTAAGACCTGCAGCCTAGGGCTCCCTGGGTCCAACCTAAGGACTGGGGGTCTGACACGTGCCTGTTGTGACAGAAGGAGGGGCAGAGGTCCTTGAATCTCAGACCACAGGGCTGTAGGCCCAGAGCTTAGGTTGGGGCAGCATTCTCTGGAGGAAGTTTGGGGGTTGAGGGGAATATCATCAGACTCCAGTGTAGTGAAGGGACCAGGCCCTGTGAATTGAGTCCTTTCTACCTCAGACCTGTGCTAACAGAGAAGGTGGGGCCTCCAACCCCTTGCCAAGATGCCAGTCCCCTGGTCCTGTGTTCCCCACGGCAGCTTTGAAGTCTAGAGGGATGCCTGGGCCTCTCCTGTTCTCTGTAGCCTACAGGTGCCCTCTGCTGCCTGAGGGTCACCTCTGCTCTCAGGTCAGGAGGAGGGCCCTGTGCTCCACCCCTCTCCAGTGTTTTTGTACCCTATATGAATTTTGGGGCCAGAAGTTCTCCCCAAGATCTGGCCCTGCACTCTCCCGGGAAACGACCTACCTTTGCCTTGTCAGGAAGACACTTGGAGTCCACTTTTTCCTGGAAGGGCAGGGTGAATATCCAGTAAGGGTAGGCAGGAGATTCTGTAACTCACTAAGACTTGGCCGGTTTACCCAATACTGGCTTTGTATCTTTGGGCAAGCCCTGGAGCTTCTTTGGAGCCTAGTTTCCTAATCTATGACCTGGGGTAATAGTTTCTACCTTCAGGCAGATTGAGATAGAAGAAAAAAGTTTCCCAGCCCTGGGCTTGGCATGTAGTAGGTGCTCAAATTAATGACATCCAATCTCAGCCCTGGACCAGGACCTGGGAATGCCTGTCAAACCCCAAGCCCTCATCTGTTGTGTATGCTGGTAGGATGGGTAGAAACCCATTCTCTAGGCCAGGGAAGCTGCCTGGCCGCCGGGATCTCAGGCTGCAGCCTTTAACTAAGGGATCCTTGAACACTGACTTGCATCTTCCCCACCACCCTGCTCCTAAGAGATGTGGGCCCAGGGGGAGAAGTAGGATATTCTCAAAGAATGAAGTGGGTAAGGACTTCCTGGAGGAAGAGGTCAGGAATTTGGGTTTTCCAGCTTCCCAGTGCCCCTTACCGCTCTGGGGGTGGGGCGGTTTGTGACTTGTCCCTCCCAGGGAGAGGGGTGGCAGGAGGCGGAGAGGCTCAGGAGGAGATGGGAGACTCAGAAGGCGGGGCTGGTGGAGGCAGACCTCAGCTTCAGGAGACGTAGACAGATCTGTGAGCAGCGAGATGGACAGGGGAGACGCACAGATCAAGGTGTCCGCAAGGCCGACGAACTCCAGGACCGTGACTGGGCGTGGCCGGGAAGGGGGCGGGTCCTGGCCTCCTTCCCCGCCCTCCCCTCCCCGGGGCGTCACGTGGGGCGGGCGGAAGCGCCCGGCGGGGTGGGCGCGCCCGGCCTGCAGCCGCGAGTTGACTACGACGGTGTCGTTGGCGGCGCCGGGGCCCTGGCTACGCGCGTGGAGTCTTGGATCAGAACAGGTCAGTGCGGCAGCCGGGGCCTCCCCGTCCGCCGCTTCTTGGCCAGGTGTGGCCCGGAGTTTCCCCATTCCGCGGAAGGGAACGCCGAGGCTGCGCGGCATCTCTGCGCCCGGCACCTACTTCCGCGGGAGTTTCTCTAGGTCACGTCTTCTGTTCTGACTGGCGGCGGGGATGGAGTCGCCTCCTGAGGATATGCGGTCGGACCAGAGACGGTAGGGAGGAGGGCGAACCGGCGGAAAAGGGGGCTTCCAGCTCTTAGCCTTTTGGCGTGAAGCCTCCCAGGTGCCATAGCTAACCCGCTTTCGGGTGCCTTGATTTTCTCATCTGTGAAATGAAGGCTCCCGCTTCTTTGACGGCGGAGACCCTTACAGGTCTGCTGCTTCATATGACCTTATGCACTGAACCTGGGGCTCTAGTGATCTTGGGCAGACGACTTCCGGTGTTTGCGCCCCAATTCCCCACCAGTAAATGGGGGCATGCCCTCCCAAGAGCCCCTACCTGGCCCAGTTGCTGGAAAAAGAAGGAGCTGTGTGTGTTCATTGAACGGGGTCAAGCCGGGAGTGGGTTACTGGGACTGGAGGAAGCAAACTCAGAATGCGGCCTGAGGGTGTGGGGTGGGTATCTGGTCCCAGATCTCCAGGGCTGATTTTTAGTGCTGGGGAGCTCTGGTCGGCATCTGGTATATGCTCCCCACTACCCCAAGGCTTCTGTCCCGGGGAGCCTGCTTTGATTCCCAGGCTTGGTGGGGAGAGCACTATAGGGTTGGACAGATGTATGAAAGTACTCAGGGAAGGATTTGACTGTGCAGCAAGGTCCAGACAGAGACACCCAGAATACCTGTGCTCAGAGAGCAGAGTGTCTAGGCTGGGAGAGACCTCCCAGCAAGCTCATTACAGGGTAGAAGGAGCCCAGCAGAGTCAGAATACAGGTGCAGACAGGTACTGAGGTGGAATCAGACACTGAGGCTCAGGGAGGAGGAGATAATTGGAATGGGCTTGGGCAGTTAAGTGGTAATTCACAAGGATAAGGACCCTCAGAGGAGGGCAGAGCTTGTATAAAGGCAGGAACTTGTGTGGTGTGTTTGAGGAATGACAAGGAGATGGAAGTGGCTGGAATGGGTGGCAGAGGTCGGGTGTAGAGAGGACCAGTCCCCCAGTGCTATGGTTGGCTGAGCATGGTCCAGACGCTGCCTTGAGGATCCCCTCTCCCTGTTTGCTGCTTGCTCATTGGAGTAGGGCAGGAGGGGGTGTTCCCAGGTGAGAGTCCTCACAACTGTGAAGTGGAAGTGGACAGATTTCTCCCAGGCTTCCTTGGGGGCATTCAGCCTCTCCAGTCAACCCTAGCCTCACCCCCCCCCCACCCCCCGCCATCTCTCGCACTCCAGTCATGCCTTTCCACGTGTCAAGCCTCAGCTGTTTGTGCAGGTTGCTTGTCTTCCCCACCACTGCCAGCCCCCGCCCCCTCCCGCCCGGCAAGTTTTCTCCCCATCAGACCTCCTGGATCTCCTTAGAACTCTGTGAGAAAGAGGACTGCAGAGCCCAGGACTGCCAGCCCCCGCCCCCTCCTGCCCGGCAAGTTTTCTCCCCATCAGACCTCCTGGATCTCCTTAGAACTCTGTGAGAAAGAGGACTGCAGAGCCCAGGACTGACTGGGACCTGGGACAGTCACCAAACTGTGCGACTCTGCAAGTTCCCAAACTTCTCCATTTCCCCATCTGCAGGGTTGAGTGATAAGACCTGGCCCTAAGCTCCAAAGAGAGAGATTGCTGGAGCAAGAATTGAGCCTGTCTGAGCCTAAATCCACCCCCCATCTCCACCAAGGGTGTTTGGGAGACACTCACTGACCCCCAAGGAGAACACTCACCCCTAGGGAGAACCTGGGGGGAAGGAGTCACTTCAGAGGGGTAAGGGGCCTCTGAGAGTCCAAGGGGCTAGGTGTGGACTAGCCCAGTACAAAGCCCTAGGAGAGAAGGGAGCCCCCTCCACTCTCCAGGGGCCCTCTCCCTTCCCCACCCCACTCTTCCTTTAGCTGAGCTCAAAGCCAGCCAGCTGATGCTCAAACAAGTGGCCTCTGTTCCTAGGATAGGGGGAGGGGAGGCAGGCCCTGGGCTGCAGGCCCGTCTGTCCAGCACTGACCCTGGCCCCCGCCCTTCACTCTGGATCTTAACCCTTGGGGACCTGGGGTGGGTACTGGGCTGCTTGCAGGCGGGTACCTCTTGCCCACCAGCTGTCCCCTCCACCCCACTTTAGGGTTCCCAGGGTTCTGTTGCTGAAGGAGTGGGTGCAGTAGGACATGAATTGGAAATGGAGAAGGAAGGACGGAATGGAGGTGGGAAGGAGGCCATGGACAGTCAGGAATCACTTGGCCCGGAAGCTTTTTTCATAGATAAGGAGACTGAGGTCAGGGGCCAGAGATCAGACCAGGATCACACAGCAAGCCCTGGGCTGGGGTGGGGCAGAAAGGGGGTTCCAAAGTGACCCGACTTCTCATCTGGGCCCTCTTGGGGAGAGGAAAGGGAAATGGAGAGAGCTCTACTTGACTTGAATACCTATGGTGTGCCTGATACCGCAAATTTGTTACTTTTTTTTTAACTTTACATCATTCCGTGAGACAAGGGTCATCATCCAGTAACACAGGGGAAGAAACAGCCTCAGAGAGAGCTGAGTAATAGCTTCAGTGAGAATGACCTCGGCAAATGCACCAGCACCTCTGTGGGCACTATTACATGTGTTAACCAGTTTCGTCCTCCCAACAAGCTTAGAAGTCAAGGACCATCCTACAGATAGATAAACTGAGGCACAGAGAGGTTAAATAACTTGCCCAAGAGCACAGCAAATAAGTGGTAGAGGCAGGGTCAGGACCCAGGCGTTTGTTTGCCTCTTTTGATCCGATTTCTCCTCCCCCAGCCTGACATCACTCCTTGAGCTCAGTCCTTGAGCTCCATCCACAGTTCCTCTCAGTGAGGGGCTTTCTCCTGGGTAGTGGCCAATGCAGTCTCTAGCACAGAGTGTGACCCCAGCCAAGCAGACCAGGCCCTTCCTTAGGAGCAGAATCCAGTCCCTTGGGCCATCCTGCGTCTCAGTCAGGCTGGACTCTTTTCCCCCTCCACAACCCCGCGTGGCGGGGCATTTCTTGTTTCAGGAAGAGATTCTGC